ACAACATTTAGGCAAACAAAAACAACCCAGTCCAGGTGGCCAGAGAGTTATGACATCAGAAGTTCCTAGCTGGGAAAGGCAGGCGAGAACAGATAACAGTAACCAAAACATTGTTAGGCTTGGGAAAGAAAACCACATGGTGGATGATGGACAGCAAGGGGCTGGGTTAACAAACAGCATACACATGGCATCCAATCAACATAAGGTTAACACCCAGAAGGTGGAGAAAGGGCAGGGCTGAGAAATCCCTTTGTCTAGAATTGTTTATATTTCTTGCCTTTCTTCCTGTTTGTGTGTGTGTTCACAATGGATCTAACTATGGAGTTAATTCTTGGACTATAATATGCTTATATTGCTTTTATAATGTAACTTCTGGATCTGGAAACATGGATCTGTAACTCTTTTGTTCAACCACATCAGCATGATGTGATCCTATGGTGGACTGTATTTTTCTTTGCTTATTTTTACTTTTTAAAACAATAAAGCTCTACTTTAGAAGTTTGGATTTTTCCCTGGCTGTGTTGGATTTTCAAGCACACCACACCAAATAAAATTCAACATTCCTTGCTTCTCTATCTGTAAAACTTGGGGAGCTTTTCAAGCTCTGTGTGAGGTTAATATTACAGCAAATAACATATCTCAGCAGAGAGGCTAAAAAAAATCTGTTTTCTGTCTGTGCACTGAGTGGGCAGGGAGTTTTTATTTCATACTTCATTTGCACCTTGCTGGGTGATGTTACTGAAAAGGCAGAAGATTCATAATGTGCAGCCGCACATTATGTTCTGCAGTAGCACCCACAACACTCATCCTAACCCAAACCCAATGTGAATCAGAGGACTCCTTCCCTCTATGTTGTGATTTTCCCCCTTCCTTCCTTTCTTTCTTTCTTTCTTTTTTTCTTTCTTTCTTTCTTTCTTTCTTTCTCTCTGTCTCTTTTTCTCTGCAACATTTCTGAGATGATAAAATCACATTTTATTGTCTGATTAAAGACAGCTCCAAAACAGAGAATTGACAAATTGTAAAACAACCAACAGACTCTTAACACATAATCGAAAAAGAAAAACATTGAGATGGCCATCAAAAGCTCTTTACGAGGGAGAGAAATGGAGAGATAATTAACAAAATATATTAGACTGGGAAAATGCTGAGTGAGATAGAGCTTTGCTCCTAAAGGCAATGCATTCTTGCTTGAAATTCCTAAACAAACAGCAAGAGGTAAAATCATGTGTCATCAGTATAAAAGCAATAGCTTTGGGGGGGGGGGGGTGATAGGATGTCAAAATTGAAAAGCTTCAGGGGATGTTGCAGAAATGAGAGGAAGAGAGTGTCTAAATGAGGTTAGAGATATGTGGAAAACAATGGAAAATGCCCACTTAAATCCAATGCACCGGCCACTCATTTGGCCGTAGCAGGGCCCAAGAGTTCTCCAAAAGGCTTACAGCCATCTCCTGGTCAAAAAAGTGTCAGAGGCAGTTGATAAATCATATAAGAGTAATGAAAGGACACCACTCTCAGCCTGAACCATTAAGCCTCAAATCTTCACAAAGCTACTGCTGACAGCTCTGGGGATTAGCAAGGAGGATTTTTGCTCTTTGCCTGGGAGCAAGCTTAGTCAAACTAGTCCAAGCTGGTTGTAAGTAAGTACATGTTAGAACTGAAACTGTTTTACTCACACATATGAAGAGAAAACCCACCAAACATCAAATTTCAAGGATCTTTTTTGTAAGATATCAATGAACACACAAAAAAAGAATCTTAAAAATTTGGCTTCCTTCTAAAATGGAGGCATTTATGCAGAAAAGGAATGGCTGTCTGTTGTTGGGGAGGATGCACGCTACATTTTACTAAGCAATGAGTTGAACTAAATAATCTTGGGTGGGGGCTTCCTATTTGTAGGAGTTTATCACACAGGGGGGAAATTGGAAGTATAAACAGAGATTAACTTATGATTAACCTGCAATTGCATGAATAGTTTTCACATGAGATCACTGCACAAAGTGTTGTTATCCCATGCAGAATCTGTGATTAACTCGCACTTGTATGAAATTGCACAAATGGTTTTCACATGACATTGAGATGAAACGTGATTAAAGTGCCATTATCCCATGAAAAAAACAGGCAAGAAACAACAGTAACTCATTCATGGAATTTTCCCATTAATGACTTTTTTCTGTTTCTTGCCTGGTTATTTCCTGGTTCTTCACAGGATAAGAGCGCTTGCATTAATGTTGCTTTAAGCACATTTTAATGTCAATTGTGCAATTTTCATGGGTTAATCATTGTTTAAAATCCCAATTTCCCTCGTGTGATAAACTCCATCATATCAAATCCCCCATTAGTAGTCTGTGTCAATATTTTTTCTGCCACATAGGGGCAGTTTGCTCCTCTCCAAACCCAGTGGTGCTACACCCTGTCCCTGCCAAATGTAGAACAAGCAGTCTCCCTCCCTATCTCTTTGATTTACTTACAAAACAATGCATGTGAAGAGACTTTGCCCTGTTTTTGAACTGATTTTCACTTTCAAAAGACTTCTGAAAGCATGAATCAGTTTTGAAACAACTGTATGACCCTTGTGTACTTTCTTTTAAAGGGAAATTATTGGACAGGAGGATACTGCCACCATGCCAGAGCAACCAAATTTTGTGGTTGCAGCAGTGGCAAAGAGGATAATGGGACCCACAAAAATGGGAACCCCAGCTGTCCAGGGGCTCAAGACAGGAGTCATTCCTAACTTCCTATGCTGTTGCACAGGACAGAGACAACCTGGATCTCACAGGAGGGGTGGTGTATGTGTGTGTGCGATGCTAATGTTGTTAAAATTTTATTTCCTGGACTTTATGATTCTTTGGGCCAATGCAGATGGCCCCTAAGGGGTGGCTCTGTGCCACCCCTGAGAGCGCCAGATCAGAGCCACAGCAACCACATGCCATGGTTCTGATCCTCCTTTTTCCTGCACCAAAAAGAGCTGGCAAATGCCACTCCTTTTGGGGGTGGCAAAAAGCCTCCCTTAGAGCTATAGCCATGGTTCTTTTGCACCCCTTTGGAACAGCAAGTTTGCACACTGCGCCAACAGGCCGCCCTAAGACCGTACACTGCAGTCAGGCATGTGATGTGACGGCTGAGTCAGGACAGAATCAGGGCATTTGGCATGTGGTTTCCCCACCCTAACTCCACCCTCAGGCCAGC